TTCTCCAACAGGGTTTTCCCCTCTTGTTCCATTACCAGAACCTGCTCGGGGGCGATCACGGTGGATAGGACGACCATAAACCTGGACGGGCGAGACCCGAACTGTATTTGATAACTTTTCTATGGTCTGCAGGGCCCAACGAGAAATATTTGCCATATTAGCTTCCAAAAATTCTACTAGAGGTACCAGTCTCTCAAGACTGTTTTCTGGATTTAGTTGTTGTTGAGCAGTCAGTCCGTCGCCCTGTAACGGTGAAGCGGCAGGGAACGACTGAACTGACTGCTCTGGAACCCCCCTCGGAGGGGGCGGCCGATAGTTTTAGCTGTCTACTTGGCGGCCCTGAGAGACAAATCTGTGGCCCGACGCAGTTCGCATAACGCGTCCGGGCCAAACCCCCACCCTCATCAAGATCTCCTTACAGTTCAGCCTTGTAAGCCTGCAGCAGTGACATCGTATGAAGGTACGCTGCAGACTGACCAGCCGCTGAATAAGCCTTACCCACCAAAGCTGATATTACTCTAACTGGCTTGGTAGGTAATACTGGGGCCTTGGGGAAGATGCTGATTCAGGGGAAAGCTCGCAAGCATCTCTTCCACTTTTGGCATCTCCCCATAACGGCTCTTTATAGTTTGAAATAGAGGAATAGTAAAGTGTTTGTGGACTATAAACTCTATTAGAAACTGGTTTCTCCCACGATCTCGACACCTCTGTGTGGAGATCGGGGAAAAACGGAAGGCCCCAGCATTGAGGTTGTGAACGAGGGGGCAGGAAGCATTCAAATAGTTTGCTTTTAGAACGAATGTCCTGCTTATCTGCTGGCCAATCAATGGTTAATCTGTCGACCGCTCTCGTTAAAATCTCCACGAGCTCCTTAAAAGCATGAGACTAAGGTGTTGAGTTCTCAGTATCTCCTGCTTCGACACTAAAAACATATAATTCCTTGTAACTAGATAGCTAGTGTTTGTGCCTCAATCGGTGGAGGTAACCGAAGCGCGTGATTCCAAACCCTGAGAGAAGGCACTGGATCTGTCAGGTGAAGGTAGAGTCTGAAGCTTTCGCTGTGCGTCAGCAGCAGCGGGAACTGAGCCTTGGGGAACGCGAGCCTGAGCGTCCTCACTAAAGAATGCCAGACGGGATCGGAGTGTGCGCAATGGAAGCACACCACAGTGCTCATAGCCAGCGCCCTCGAGCGCTAACCGTGCATGCTAAATACCACTCGGGCAGGGGTGCACACACATTCTGAACTGCTGCTGCTTACTCGCCATAACTGAATATATATATATATATATATATATATATATACACAGACATCTCCAAATAGACAAAAACAGTTTCACATTGAGCACTTGTGAAGACACGGAAGCTAGCGCTGCTCTGTTTAGGCAGGCTTTATAGTTTCCTGGTTCATGATGTCACCCGCCTTTGACATTCCACCACACCATTGGACTGATTTTACATGTGCTTTAAGACATCATTATGCAAAGCGTCAATACAAGGCTGTATCACGCAGGAGCATTCCCTTTCTAGGGAACTTGCACTGCGTCGAAAAGCTGTGGGAATGCCTCTGTGTGAAGCACGTATGAAATCAGTCCAACTGTGTTCTTCTTCTCTGCTATCCACTGGAGAATCTGCCCAGGAAGGAGCTTCTTTCGATACTTCACCCCTGCCCAGAGTTGTGGAAGCTGTGGGTTTGGCCTGTGAGGGGGCCCAGCTCATAAGTTCAGGTCTCTCAACAGATTGTTGAGACCATTCTCCACTCTAGAGCTCCGTCCACGAGGAAACTCTATGCCTTGAAGTGGAGATTATTCACTTCATGGTGCGGAAGTCACCAGTTGGAACCAGTTAAAGAAGTAGTTCACTTTTAGAAAAACTTTTGCTGATAATATACTCACCCCCATGTCATCCAAGATGTCTACGTCTTTCCTTCTTCAGTCGAAAAGAAATTAAGGTTTTTGATAAAAACATTCCAGGATTTTCATCAAAATGAACGAATATCATTCATGAGAGTCAATTCATTCATTTCGTTCGTTGAATGAATCAAATGACTCGAAAAAAGATTTTTTTTCATTTTGATGAACGAGTTTGAACAGGAGAGTCACGAACGCACACCACAGAACAGAGCAAGGTGAGCATTTGAGCTTATAAAACTTAAACTTTTTTATCATAAAGATCGTTTCGCTTGATAAGACCCTTAATCATCGTCTGGAATCGTTTAAAGCCCTTTGAACAGTTTGCACTGAAACTGTCTTTTGCACCTTGAAACGTTTGGTTACCAGTAAAATCCATTATATGGAGAAAAATCCTGGAATGTTTTCTTCAAAAAACGTAATTTCTTTTCGACTGAAGAAAGAATGACATGGACATCTTGGATGACATGGGGGTGAGTAAAATATCAGCATAAGATTTTTTTAAAGTGAACTGCTCCTTTAACTGCCCAGTGGGTGCAGTCTTGGACAGATTTCATACGTGCTTTATAAAGCATTAACACAGAAGCATTCCCACAGCGTTTTGACGCAGCGTCCTGTTCCATCTTCATGGAGCTAAGGTTACATGCATTACAGAGAAATTTCCTTTCAGATGCAAAAATTATGGAAGGAGAGTATTTAAATATATCACCCGAGGTAATTAACTAAGGTTTGCGCTCGTCAATATACTGGTATTTGCACCATTATTGCCAAAAAAAGCATGCCCCCATAATTTGCACTGCTCCTGGTAGATTGCGTTGGTCATTATGGAAATGATCTGACTGCGTCTGTGTTCTTTAATTTGTGCGTCGTCAGTAGATGCACAGAACTTTCCACTCCCATCTGAGCTTTTTTGGAATTTGCGCTCTCACGCTAATTTGCCCTGTTTAGTAAATCTGGCCCCCTAAGTATATTACCTTCAAACGTAATATCAAAGAACACATTTACTGTTAAAATCATATAAGGCATATGTGCTTTATTATGTTAGTCAACATCAAAGTAAGTGTACTTTTTTAAACCATGACAAAAAATTATTTAGACAATGATTCACAATGTTCTTTAGAAAACAAGCAAAACATTTACAGTAGTTTGACATTATTACAAACTAAGTGCACCTTTTAGAAGTGTACCTAAGTAATATGAATTGAAAGTCTAGTCTACTCTCTTTAAGTACATGTGGCCTCTTCATTATATTACCTGCAAGTAATTTTTATTACATACTTTTATGATTTGACGGACATTACAAGTACACATTCAATACAAATAAGTGCACTTCCTTTCTAGCAATAGTTTGTTGAAAATTGTTGTCATTTCTACATAAATGTGAAGGAAACATGAGAGAATTAGTGATGTCTGATTTGTAATCTTTTCTCTTTTTGTTTTTAGTTGCATCTTTTTATAATTTGTTGATTTGTTCATGACCTGGACTGATTTTTTTTTTTTTTTCCTGAACTCAATGCAAATGTCTGTTTTGCTTCAAACAAAGCGTATCATATTCAGAAAGAGGAAAATAAAGCACATGTCATATAATCCATGGTTATAATACTTCTATGGTGCTTTTGTGTCCTTTTTGAAGCTCAAAGCTTCTGTCCATTTATTTTCCTTACCAGAAAGAAATTGTTTCAAATGACACATGGATGAAAAAATATATATATATATATATATATATATATATATATATATATATATATATATATATCTTCTCTTATGATGTACTGACGTGAAGTCTATAATTAATTCTATAACCTGGTCTATAATATTTTTTTTCCACACTCACATCATATCACAAAACACTTCTGACTTCCTAGAGAGTATGTAGACACTTCCCAGGAAGATTGTCAGAAACACAATACACACATCTCACTGTAAATTAGCCCATAAAGATAATGTCTGGAGACAACTTGAGTGTGTCTTCTTAGCTAATCTAGAATCCTGAGGGTTTAAATTAGATCTGAAAAGATGTTTTGCCTATACTTGATCAGCAAATGTATTAGTCAGGATCTCACTTTCATAACTGTGAACCCAGAATATTTGGACACTTAAAGCTCAATTAAAAAACTTTAGTGACTGTATAAAGTCAGTTCACTTCAAATTCACACAGGTGTCAGAATAACCACAGGTGCTCTGTCTACTGACAATGATCAACTGCAACAGTTGAAAAGTGGCCACATACATTTTGTCTTTATTTTTAACATGGTTTCTGTTTGTAACATTATATATCTAGTGTATGAAATGCAGTGATGTTAATACTTTGTGTCTTTGGAGCCACCCTATATAACCAAACAAATGATAGATGAATCCTTTTTGTCCAAAATATTGAACATATTTGATTTGGCCTAAAACATCAAATCTGAGCATAAAAAACTAAATATTGACTTATTTCTTTCTAATAAATCTTTCAATACAGGTATAGCTATCGCTACCCGGTCACACTAAATGCGTCTCTAGCACACAATTGTGTTTATCGTACAATTTAGTTTTTACGTGCATGTGATGCGCATAGGTTTAGCAGTGGTTTGGGATAGCCTACGTATATATTTTACGTTTGGTTAGGATTAGTGGTGTGCATCTGCGCATATCCACCACGTAAAACACGTATAAATTGCATGATAAACACAATGCGTGCTATAGAGACGCATACATTTGCCAAACAAACTTCTTTTCGTGAAACTTTTCGTTTGCTTGGAAAAAAAGTGCTGTGCAATTTTTCATTAAAATAATTGGCACTTTATAATTTTCAATGAAATTCTTTTTTTACTACATCTTATTTTCTTTTGCTTCTTTTTTATCATTCGATGTATGTAATTAATGTTAAATTAAACACACACACACAAACACACACACAGTAATATGACCGACTATTTCAATTTTCCAATGAACACAATGACAACAAAAACCAACAAAACTTTAGTTCGATCTTTCTTTAACCTTTAGGAACACAAAATCCAGTTAACAGTAAGTGTACATGTACTTGTGTTTTATCTTAACCATCAAACATCACTACAATAGAAACGTATAATAAAGAAGATGTCTTACCTGGAGAAAGACAAGGAACAGAAGCGCTATGCCTTTACAAACAGTTTTGACACATCCCATCTTAATTCAAGAATCCTGATATTCCTGAGCAGCGATCCTCATATCATCTTCAGGTAAGTTTTCCCGCGACTTTTCTCAACGATGAACCGATTTAAACTATCAGAGTGGTCCTTGTCAAAACCGCACCGAGCACTGATGTGAGAGAGGTGTGTGCTCTTGCTGTCACCAGAGTTAAATGTTCCTGTTACGGTGAACTAATGGCATCGCTTCACAACATCAAAAAAAAAAAAAAAAAAACATTGACCGCTAATCCGCCCCTGAAGTCCAAACAGGAAGTTAAAATGTTCACTATTTTAAACCGGCCACTGTAAAGCGCAAACTTCTTGTAAGTATTTTTTATTATTTTTTTAGGCTATGCTTAAAAAAAAAAAAACTAAATGTATTGTTCATTGTTTCTCTTAATTCCTTTCATTCCACCTGTTCAAGCTGTATATAGCCTACTGTACATTATGGTATAATATTGATATTGATATATACTCAGAGACATGGAGGTGGTAAATTGTTTACATACTCTATTAAACTCCTTGGCCGAACAATACACATTCATTTCATTGTAACTGACTATTGTAATGTTTCTCTTCCTGTAGATTCAGAGCCCATTCTAAACATGTTTACTTAAGTTCAGGACGAAAATAGTACTAATTATACTTGCGCAATGCCCATGAGAGGAATGACCATGTTTGCACACAAATATTTAGAAGTTCTGAAGCTTTTCTTTCAGATTTAGTGTTTACTATGATGACCGCTTTCAGATTCATCTTTGTAATGGGCCATGGAGGAATGCCCACACTGGCCCTGTCACTGTCCCATGTCTCCTGGGTCTGGGTGGTTCCTCTCAGAGAGGTCATTATCCAGCTTCAATTAAAAACCAGTGGGAACCATGTAATCAAAGAAACCCAAGGCACCAACAAACAGATCATATCATTATATATCCAGCTTTCTTTGAATGGTAATGCCAAATGTTACAATCTTGTTATTTTCGCTACGTCAATATGTCGATCAGCACTAGAAAGTTAATTTTGAGTTACAATATTGTGTTACTCGTTAAAAAAGTAAGTATTAGGCTTGGTTAAGTTTTTATAGAAAATAAGGTGTTACGTCACTTATAGGGTTACTTTTTCTTACCTGGGATTTGCTTGCTTGTTTGTTCTATTTTTGAAAAATGTAAATGCCCCTTCACACCAAAAATGTATATGCAAATGGAAATGCAAATTCCCGTCTGTACAGTAAAGAGTGCAGCTCAACTAAACGCTTCAGCTATTCAACACTTGTCTTGAGAATATTCAACACTTTTACACTAGCAACCACAACAAAAATGAAATGAATCCAAAGTAGCCTAAGTTTTGCTTATTAGTATGGTTGAATTTGATCATTGAAAGTCAGCAATAAAGACATTGGTTAATAAATTGAGATAATAAGAGGCATTTGTATTATAACATATTTAATCATTGCAGGTTTGCTTATTATGAAAGAAGCTGTGCTTCGCGTCGTGCCTAAAAACGCCCTTCAGCCGTTACTTATTCACGATACAGCTCTTGCCTCGAGTACCTTATTGCTTTTATAAAACGGTTACCACACAATAAAAATATTAAAGTAAAAAAAAAAACTGTATTAGTGCAACTTTCATGAAGTAAAATCACTAAAAGCCTTCCTTCCGCTAGAAAAAAGTAGTCCCTGACCGTGAGCAGCAACAACGTTCCAATGTGTAATATGCATGAAACCTCAAATATAAACAACATAGGAACTGCAGTGTTGCGCAATGATAAATAGAACCGGTCAGCCGTGTTTTATCCATCATCGTGAATAAAACACATCTATTGACCAATCAGAATCAAGGATTGGAACTTATCATTTTATAAATATAGGGCTTTTATATATTGTAGGTATTTTGGTTTGAAACTTACTTTGTTACTGTTAAAGTACATGAATGCATATCGTATGAAGGAAATTCAAAAAAATTTTGCCATGTTGTCCCTGTCATGTGACCTACAGTTGTGTTGCTTCCAAGCAAGTGATTGTCATCATTTCACCGTCTGTTAACTATAGACCTGATATAGAATGGCTATGAGTGACCCACTTCTAGCCAAAGTAACCTTGAATTTGGTTACATGACGTTTTTTTGCCAAAAATAACTTGTGAAATGTATAAAATTATGACGTGAATGCAAAGTCAACAGGGAATACATGGTGTTTGGTTCCATTTCTTTGACATGTTCAATGCTTAGCCTGTGTATCTATTCTTGAGCCATGTTTAGACACCCATCAATTTTCCACAGACAGCCCAAATTTTGCATTGTTTTTTCCTAGACTGTGTTTGAGGGTGCCATTTTTCTTAGTTTGGGTGACATTTTTGAGCCCGTTCTTCGTATTACTCAGTTATCTGGATTTTACTGTGGATGATTTGACATGATCCAGGATTGTTCTGGTTACTGGAGATGTTGCACATTGGTGATGGTTGAGGAGATTCCCCCCATTCATGTAAAGTGCTTTGAGTACCCACAAAGGTGCTATAAATGTAACAAATTATTATTTATTATTATTAATAAATTATTATTATTATTACGTTGCTGTCTTTCCGCAAGCTATTCGCTGCATTGCTAACCATGGTTTTGAGTATCGATGAATCTGCGCTTTCCGAAAAAAGGTACAAAAGCTGTCACTGGGGCTGTACGTTTTCAAAAGGTACACTTTTGTACCCAAAGGCTGCATATTGGTACATATTAGAACCTAAAATGTACACATTATGACCTAAAATGGACATATTAGCACCTAAAATGTACATATTATGACCTAAAATGGACATATTAACACTTAAAATGTACTTATTAGCACTTATAATGTACATATTAACACCTAAAATGTACATATTAGCACCTAAAATGTACATATTATGACCTAAAATGGACATATTAGCTCCCAAAATGTACATATTAACACTTAAAATGTACTTATTAGCACCTAAAATGTACATATTAACACTTAAAATGGACATATTATGACCTAAAATGGACATATTAGCTCCCAAAATGTACATATTAACACTTAAAATGTACTTATTAGCACCTAAAATGTACATATTAACACTTAAAATGGACATATTAGCTCCCAAAATGTACTTATTAACACTTAAAATGTACTTATTAGCACTTATCATGTACATATTAACACCTAAAATGTACATATTATGACCTAAAATGGACATATTAGCTCCCAAAATGTACATATTAACACTTAAAATGTACTTATTAGCACCTAAAATGTACATATTAGCATCTGTACATACTAGTACCTAAAATGTACACATTAACACTTAAAATGTACATATTAGCACCTAAAATGAACATATTAGGAATGTACAGTGAACACAATAACAGTATTCCTAAAGTAACTTTACATGACAATAGAAACGTTTTTCTTTGTAAAGATGGCAATGTTATCAAAATCCCATTCACACAGATCCGTGAAAACGACTAAATACGTGTTATGCATGCCAGACCAGTAGTTGGCGATGTTACTTTGTAAAGACAGATTACTGAACAAGGCTGAACATGCCGTCACCGTTTTCACAGATTCACGTTTCTGTGGTCGGCCCTCGGTCTCAGACAGTTTAATCCAGATATTTTAATCAAATATGCTAATTCGTTTGAAGAACCAAGTTAGGTAGAGATCTGTTACCACAATTAGAAGAGCTGGCATCTGTCAACCCTTCTGAAAAATGCAGCATAAACCAAGATGGATTCCAGGCTAGTTTATGCTGGTTAGAGTTCGTATGTAGGTCCAGACTGGTTTATGCTGGTTAGTGTTGGTGTAGTGATGGTCCAGGCTGGTTTATGCTGGTTAGAGTTGGTATAGTGCGGGTCTAGGCCGGTTTATGCTGGTTAGAGTTGGTATAGTGCTGGTCCAAGCTGGTTTATGCTGGTTAGAGTTGGTATAGTGCGTGTCCAGGCTGGTTTATGCTGGTATAGTGCTGGTCCAGGCTGGTTTATGCTGGTATAGTGCTGGTTCAGGCTGGTTTATGCTGGTTAGAGTTGGTATAGTGCGGGTCCAGGCTGGTTTATGCTGGTTAGAGTTGGTATAGTGCGGGTCCAGGCTGGTTTATGCTGGTTAGAGATGATATAGTGCTGGTCCAGGCTGGTTAATGCTGGTTAGTGTTGGTGTAGTGATGGTCCAGGCTGGTTTATGCTGGTATAGTGCTGGTCCAGGCTGGTTTATGCTGGTATAGTGCTGGTCCAGGCTGGTTTATGCTGGTTAGAGTTGGTATAGTGCGGGTCCAGGCTGGTTTATGCTGGTTAGAGTTGGTATAGTGCTGGTCCAGGCTGGTTAATGCTGGTTAGTGTTCGTATGTTGGTCCAGACGGGTTTATGCTGGTTAGTGTTGGTGTAGTGATGGTCCAGGTTGGTTTATGCTGGTATAGTGCTGGTCCAGGCTGGTTTATGCTGGTATAGTGCTTGTCCAGGCTGGTTTATGCTGGTATAGTGCGGGTCCAGGCTGGTTTATGCTGGTTAGTGTTCGTATGTTGGTCCAGACTGGTTTGTGCTGGTTTATGCTGGTATAGTGCTGGTCCAGGCTGGTTTATGCTGGTATAGTGCTGGTCCAGGCTGGTTTATGCTGGTTAGAGTTGGTATAGTGCTGGTCCAGGCTGGTTTATGATGGTCAGTGTTGGTGTAGTGATGGTCCAGGCTGGTTTATGCTGGTATAGTGCTGGTCAAGGCTGGTTTATGCTGGTATAGTGCTGGTCCAGGCTGGTTTATGCTGGTTATAGTTGGTATAGTACGGGTCCAGGCTAGTTTATGCTGGTTAGAGTTGGTATAGTGCTGGTCCAGGCTGGTTTATGCTGGTCAGAGATGGCAAAGTGCTGGTCCAGGCTGGTTAATGCTGGTTAGAGATGGCAAAGTGCTGGTCCAGGCTGGTTAATGCTGGTTAGTGTTCGTATGTTGGTCCAGACTGGTTTATGCTGGTTAGTGTTGGTGTAGTGATGGTCCAGGCTGGTTTATGCTGGTATAGTGCTGGTCCAGGCTGGTTTATGCTGTTTAGTGTTGGTGTAGTAATGGTCCAGGCTGGTTTATGATGTTATAGTGCTGGTCCAGGCTGGTTTATGCTGGTTAGAGATGGTATAGTGCTGGACTGGTTAATGCTGGTTAGTGTTCGTATGTTGGTCCAGACTGGTTTGTGCTGGTTAG